AAGCTGCAATTTTTTTTTTGCAGTTTGCCTCTGCAATGGTTGAGCATGATAATATATTGGACGAAGGTTTTTGCGCAACGAATATAACTTCGTCGCGCTAAGTCCACATGTTGTCGAGCCAAAACCAACAAATTTGCGCGACAAAACTTCTCTGTCGGCGCGCATGAATGTGCCGACATCCACTTTTGCACGACGAATCTTTTTTGTTCGTCGTTCAATGTTTCGTCACGCAAACTCCATATTTTCGTCGCACGAGTATTTGGCGCCAAATACAATAAAGCCGGGTCCTTTTTCCCGCTTTTTGTTTGCGCGACGAAATGTTTCATTGTCGCAATAGCTAACTTGTTGGGAACAAAATCCTCGTCGTGTAATATGTTTGCCCGTCATGTTTTAAACTGACTGCTTTCTAAGGTAATCCACAATCCACTACATGTATCCTAATATCCAGCCAACCAACCTGCCCAGGTTACAACCAGACTTGGGAAATTTGTAAAAAGCCATTAGATTTTAATCAGCTTAACTCTCCAGATATAAGTGTAGGAATTTTACATACAAGTTTGAAATAAATAAGTTCACTTCGGGAAGCATCAAAGAGGCCCAAATTCCAAACCATGATAAGATGGTTCATCCAGCTAGAAATTCAACTAGAACAAGATCTGGCAAAAATCACAGCACCCAAATTGAAATTTTCAACATGGGCAAGAAAAAGCGGGAGATCAACAATAGCTTTTCGAAGAACAAAAAAGAAAAAAATAACTGCATGGGAAATGGGAACGAAGAGAAAATCTAAGAAAGAAAATTCTGATTGTTTATTAATGAATGGTGAAACCAAAGTACAGTGCTTTGATGAACTAACAACTAATACACATGGTTTTAACCACAAGATTGAAAAAGATTCGCCTCTGCAACTTCAACAAACATCCTCATCATCCGCGGCCTAGAATAAGAAACGTAGATTAAATTAATAATTAATTCTTTAAAAATAAAAATAAAAATAGTACAAGATTTGCTACATACCTATGAATGTCGAGGAATGAAGAACCCCCATAAGGAGACCATTAGAACGAGAATATTGACAACCCATACCTAAATGGCTGGTCCTCTGATTGGTCTATTGCTTCCTCTCAGCATCATCGGTCCACTGATGACCAGTAAAGTCAATACAGATGAGGTTGCAACGAGGAACATCACAAGAGGCAGAGGCAACACAATGGCATACCAATAGCCACGTAGGTTTTGAGAAGAAACAGTTGGAATGATGATTCTTTGGGTTTGGTGGAAGGGGATGGGAGGGTAGGTGAAGATTTGAGGGTAAGTTCCAAACCCGATACTGACGTGGTCGTCTTCTTCCTCTTCCTCTTCCTCTGCTCTTGGGAAGGTTGCTCCTCTTTCCTCTTCCGAATCTTCATCATCTTTTCGGAAGATGGTTTGTTTATCGGCGCTTCTTCGGCATTTTAGTGCTAGGCCGTCTGAGGTCTGGACAATGGGGTTGGCAATGTCAGCGGCATGGGCGGGGGTGTAGAAGATGAGAAAAGGAAGGGCGATGAAGATGAGGATGGCGAACATGAGTAAGGCAAAGGCGAATCTTGGTGACTCCATGATTGACTAGTATCTTCTAACAAGTGACGAAAACTGAAGAAAAATTAGAGAGACTTCAGGGGTTGATTATCAAAAATGGCGTTTCGTTTCGATTGAGTGCAAGGAGTGTACTCTGTAAACCCACGGGAAACTAAGTTTTACTAAAATAAAAAAATGTACGAAGTTAATTTCAATTAACTTCGTACATCAACGTGCATAATTTAACAACATAATATAAATATATTTCACAAAATAATTTAAACATAATGTAATTAATTATATATTTTTAAATTATAAAATGACGAAAATACCTTCTCAATCGTTCTCCACCAATCGCTAATCACATATAATATCTCTATACACAACGAAATTAATGGTGTTAGTATAAATTTACATTAATACTTTTACACTACAGGAAATGAACTTGAGAAGTTTGGTTGGCCAAAAACGTTTGAGACAGAGGGAGAGGCAAGCTGCAATTTTTTTTTGCAGTTTGCCTCTTCAATGGCTGAGCATGATAATGTATTGGACGAAGGTTTTTGCGCAACGAAGTTAACGAAGGTTTTTGCGCAACGAAGTTAACTTCGTTGTGCTAAGTTCCCATGTTGTCGCGCCAAAACCAACAAATTTGCGCAACGAAACTTCTCTGTCGTCGCGCAAGACTTTGTCGCGCAAATCTCTTTACCGTCGCGCAACAGTTAATTTTTTGGCGCACATGGATGTGCCGACATCCACTTTTGCGCGACGAATCTTTTTTGTTCATCAATCAATGTTTCGTCGCGCAAATTCGAAATGTCGTCGCGCAAACTCCATATTTTCGTTGAGCGAGTATTTGGTGCCAAATACAATAAAGCCGGGTCCTTTTTCCTTCTTTTTGTTTGTGCGATGAAATGTTTCATCGTCACGATAGCTAACTTGTTGCGACCAAAATCCTCGTCACGCAATATTTACCCCCAAATAAACTTGACCCATGTTTTTCTTCTTAACTTTACGCGACGTAATGTAACGTTGTCGCGCTACGTATGTTTGCGAAACAATAATTGTCGTCGTGCAAGTTTTTTACGCCAAAATGCTGGTTCGCGGGTGTTTTTGGCTACCTTAACGTGACGCTAAGTGCTGTTGTCGCGCAAAGTAGTTTTGTGCAACCAAATTATTTCGTTGCGCAGTTTTGCGCAACGCATATTTATTTCCGTCGCGCAAGTGTGTTTGAAGCGACGAAGTTCCTTTCGTCGTGCAAATAGTAAAATGTAGTAGTGCTTCTTTGTTTGCCCATAAGATTTCTTTCTTGGTGTGTTCTCTCGTGTCTCTAGCCCTTGGCATGTTCTATAACTCTTGTGTTGTCTAAAAGACTATGATTTCTTATAGAAGGCTTCTTTTGACAGTTTGGGATGCGTTGGTGTGCTCATTGCGGGGTCTAATGTATCGGTCTTTCGTTAGTATTTCCTTGTTCATTGTAGCGGTTCAAAGGGGCTCGGGTTTTGGACTAATTTGTTAGTCCATGGCATGTGTGTGTGGTACTCTTTCCTACCATGGAGTTTGGCCCATGTGGTTTTTCAAGGAATGTTTTAACAAGGCCATTGTAATCATGTAGATTTATGTACGAATCTTTTGGATTATGAATGAAATGTCTTTTTCTCTAAAAAAAAAAGTTGCAGTTTCTATTCTATAAAAATATAAATATAAAAGTAACATAAAATTAGCAACCCATATACACACTGTGTTGTAGTTTCTATTATATAATACTAAAAATACCGATGTATGAATAACAAAAAAATACACACTGTGTTGTAGTTTCTACTCTATAAGCTTAAAGATGCAAATATGAAAGTAATATAAAAATACACACTGAGTCGCAGTTTCTATTTTATAAATCTAAAATTATTAATATAAGAGTAACATAAAAATACACACTGTACTGCAGTTTCTATTATATAAGCTTGAAAATACAAATATAAGAGTAACATAAGAATGAACAATGTGTGGCAGTTTATATTCTTAATTACTAGCCTCTCCGCATGCGCTTCCGGAAGCGGGCTCGGGCCAAGCCCGGCCCATGTCGGGCCATGGGCCGGCCCGGTCCATTGGACCTATTTTTTGATCCCGGCCCGACCCCAGTTTTCGTGTCGTGCCGAGCACGGCCCATTAGTATTCGTGCTCGTACCGTGCCGTGCCTCATTTAAACGGGCTGGGCTCGTGCCGTGCTGGGCCGGCTCGTCCCGTTTGACACCTCTAATCTAAAGATGACAGTTTTTTTTAAAAATAGGTTCGTCTATTATGAAGTAAAGATGACGGTTTTTTTTAAAAAAAGGGTCGTCTATTATATCTAAAGATGACGGTTTGTTTTAAAAAGGGTCGTCTATTATGAAGTAAAGATGACGGTTTTTTAAAAATATAATGGGTAGTTGTGTTTTGTAAAAATAGGATCCAGTATCTGATTTTTCTTTTAATTTTAATTTTTTTAATATGAAAAATTATCAATTTACCATATCATCCTCATTTAATTAATAATTTCAATTCTTAATGTTTGCATTAACCAATGACATTTTCTGGTATTTTGAATGTTTCACCATTCTTTGCCTTTTGCTTTATATATATATATATATATAGATAAACCTAAAAAATATCAATATAAGGGTAACATAAAAATACAGACTATATTGCAGTTTCTATTACGTAAGTCTAAAAACACCAATATAAGAGTAACATGAAAATACACATTATGTTGCAGTTTCTATTCTATAAACCTAAGCCAATCGTGATTGTTATACATGGTGTTTTATTTGTTTGTCTTTAAGTTTTGTTGTGGTTTAAAATATTAATGAGACTCTTAAACAAATGACAATAATGAGGATATTTGTTTATTTGTGTGTTTTCAAAACCAAATAGTAAAAACACAATCAAATCACAAATTTAGGAAAAATTGTGATTGTCACGCATCATTTTATACATATATATATAATGGTTCAAAACTTGTAAATTTTAATAAATATAAATTGATCTATTTATGTAAGCATGAGGGCTTTGGTATAAATAGTTCGTGAATCGGTCTTAAAATTAATATTTCAATAAAATTGACTTTACTTTTAATATAAATATTATGCAACTTAGTAAATATGTCAAAAGTAAAGTTGGTGTAGTAGTGGTTTTGGTTGGGGTTTCCATCTCTGAGGTTGGAGGTTCAAGTACCCGTTATGGCAAAACAAACAACCTTTTTACAATGTTAAATACAATTGATTTAAGGTGAAGTGATCAAACTACAAAAAAACATACTACTCTATCATTCAATTCCTTTGCCTATATCCATGATTGCTATGTAGTTTCTTCTTTCATATGCAAAACATCATTAGCGAGAAAGCAAAGTTGTCAAAAGTTGGAGGCATGGTGAATTGTTGATCCAATCGAAGATAATAAAATTACAATCAGGATTACATTGTGCACCAAGTTCAGAACATGTAATCTTACATCAAATTCAATCTGCTCCATAATCATATAAGAATTTCCCTACTCGCAATTTAGTTCTTGGAAGTGTTGAGCAGTCCACAGAGAACTCCCAATGGGTAGCAATGATTTTAAGAAGAATCTCGATCAAGAGTTTGGAAGATGATAGTTTCATCAATTCAAGAAACTCTAACTTCTTTGTCAACTGGTGCTCTCTCTGAACCAAGGGTCCCTGGGTTTGTGAACATCATATAATTTTAATGGATTTGTCTGTTCGTTGGCAGCTGCAAAAGTAGAGGACTGGCTAGAGTCAGTAATATTGCTCGGTCATTCCAATCATTTCACCTGAATCAATAGATGTTTTAGTTTACAATAAGTCTTCAGAGGAACCCACACCTCCATAGTCCAATTTCGTGTATGTGTGGCATGACATGATGCATCCAGAATGGAGTGGCTGGACAAGGTAACAAATTATTAGATTATTCCTACAAAATAATCGTAAATAAAACAAAAATCTTGAGTTGAAGTCCTTATTTGAATCAACCATTATACGATGAAGTTGCCTGCTCACCATTATATGAACAGGACGATGTCTCCAACCATCAGCAGAATGAAAAGTTTCACAAAACTTATCATTTATATAAGCAGAACTAAATTTGCAAATAATCAAGTCAGTTACTAAGTGAAAGTACACATATATCGATGCCTAATATAGTCGTATGAAATTGCTAGCCTTGACCTTACTTCAAGGTTGGAAAATTCATGCCCATAGTTCCAACCCTAATGTTTAGAAATTCCAATCTGCATGATGAATTATCAAAAATTTAGTAATTATACCAAGTCTTCATTATCTCTTCACATACAACCATATCAAGTTAGAATCATTGAGTTGAGATTCAAAATATATTCTACAAATTCAAGAAAATTTGGTGGCAAAGTGTTATGATAATAGAGATACCTCTGGTAAATCAATGATTCGATGTTATTGAACTTTGCATCAATGCATGCAGTACTACCACAATCTTCATCTTCATCTTGCCCTTCACACGCTTGAGAAACCTTCATATTTATGTAGAACCCAAAACTTAATATGTAATCAAGAAAGGAGATTGACAAAAGCTTTTGCGCATACCAACCTCGTTTTCAAGTCACTTTTATAGTTGAAGAAGAGGATTCTAGAATGGCGGTTTTCAAAAACAACAGGCCTAATCTGAGTCTGGTATGCGGTTTTTAAAGTGATCCTTTCTAAGGAATTTCTCCGAATCAGTTCCACAAATCCGTTACATTCCTAGTCTTGGTTTCCAGGCTCTAAACATGGACATATATGAAATAGGAAATTTATTTATGACTTTAACAAAATTGTATGCAATAAAACGAAAGAGCTTCGTACCTAGACGTCCCTGAAAACATTAGACTTTAGTACAAAGGCACTCACAAGCTGCAGACATGGGCTTAGCCAAGTTGGCTAGAGTGGATGTGTCCCCCACTCTGCCCCCAAGTTCAAATCCCTCTCCTTAAAGTTTAGATTAGATATCGTTTGTATAAAATAAAATAAAATAGAACATGTTATAAAACTAGATGGAGAAAATATAGAGAGAAATGATATGCTAAGGATAAAGTTTCAACATGTTTTTATTCACCTAATCTTTGGTAGAACCACCTATTTATAAGCTTACAAGATAGGAGATTGAATACCACCATTCACAATATACCTATAGGTTACAAGCACTAATTACAAATACTCAGTGCATAGGTTATATAAAATCCAACGGTGGAATACTAAGAGGTATGGTGGTCATCAACCAACTCATGCATTTACAACACTCCCCCTTGGATGTCCACCATACAATGACATAGTTCCCTTATTAAAAACCTTGCTTGGAAAACCCAGTGAGACAAAACCAAAGCAAAGGGAAAAAGAGTGAAACTTTCTTCTGTATCATTGATATGGTGTTGGATGTGCTTATGTTGCCTGGTTAAAAACCTTGCTAGGAAAACCCAGTGGGACAAAAACCTAATCGAAGGGAAAAGAGTACAACGCGCATATGTGTTGTATGTAGTAGAACTAGGATACTCCCCCTGATTGATATCTCACATTGATTTTCAATAACTTCTGCCATATAGATTTCGGAAAAGTTTTGGTAAAAAGGTTCGCCATATTATCTTGTGAACAAATTTGTTTGACTCCAATCTCTTGACTTTTTTCTGAAATTGTCACCCTTGATGAACCCTTCTCTGATTTGAGCAATACAAGCAACATTGTTTTCATACATGATCGTTTATCACACTATTTGACCTGTTTTTCACTTTTCAAATTATTGAACTCTTTAGTAACATCAACAACTAATCTAATAGTCAAAATATGTTACAACAATATCAAATTTGAATTCAAAATACTCAAACTCTTAGTGTTAACTCTTAATCAAGAATATCGTGGTACTGTATATCCTTCAAGGGGTTGCTTCATGCGATATATCTCAACTATTTCATGAGCTTTGAGGATCTCCATGTACCATACAGTCTTAATAAATATGCATTTAACACATGTTATAAGTTTCGCCTTAAAATAACAAATGTACTTAGAAATGTCACTACTACAAAATAGTTAAACCACAACACAAAATAGACGACGGTGCATCATAAAATCGTCGTTATGTTTTAAAAGACAACGGTATTTTTAAAACCGTCATGATATATCATGTTATACACTACTAGCGTTAGATTGATTTTTAAAAGACGACGCATGTCACTAACAAGCGTCGTCTTTTAAAACACACTGAACAAAAAAAAGGCCACTTGATTTTTAAAAGACGACGCTTGTTAAAGACACGGTTTTTTTTTTTAAAGAACTGTCGTCTATTATATGTAAAGACGACGGTTGTTTTAAAAAAAGGGTCGTCTATTATATCTAAAGATGACAGTTTGTTTTAAAACAGGGTCGTCTATTATGAAGTAAAGATGACGGTTTCTTTTTTAAAAAGGGTCGTCTATTATATCTAAAGTAGAGGTGTCAAACGGGCCGTGCCGGGCCAGCCCGTCCCATTTAAACTCGTGCTTTTAACATTTTCGTGCCGTGCCGGGCCGGCCCATTTAATTTATCGGGCCGTGCCGTGCCGGCCCATTTAATAAAATCATTGATCCCGGCCCGGCCCAAAGCCCATGTCCATATTTAAACGGGCCGGGCCGGGCTCGTGCCGTGCCCGTGTTCGTGCCATACTCGGGCCCAAGAACCAACCCATTTAATTTGAATTTTTTTCGCTTGATTTTTTTTTTCCACTAGATAATTCAAATTATAAACATTAAAAATATAATTAGAGGCAAGAAATTATAAACTATTTGAAAACATTAATCAATCAAACATCCAAACAATATGAAGGGCGGAGGGCAAAAAGTGTCCAACTCCACAAAGTCCACTTGAACTTTTTATCTTTAAACAACTTATTATTTTATATGTGAAGAAATGTTTTGCTTTGATTATAAGAGAAGCGTATATGTCATATGTATTGATTAGATATCAAGTCCAATGTTGTTTAATTAATTTGTAGTTGATATGTTTAATTAACTAAGGACTCAAGTAATTTCCCTAAAATGAAAGACATCAAATATATGGTTATGATTTTTTTATAAATAAAAAAAAAACATATAAACAATGACATTAGATGTCAAATTATTGCATTTTGACTTTTTGAGAAGAAAAAAATGCTAAATGGGCCGTGCTTGGGCTCGTGCCTAGGCTTGTGCCGTGCTTGAAGCGGGCTCGGGCCAAGCCCGGCCCATGTCGGGCCATGGGCCGGCCCGGTCCATTGGACCTATTTTTTGATCCCGGCCCGACCCCAGTTTTCGTGTCGTGCCGAGCACGGCCCATTATATATATATATATATATATATATATATATATATATATATATATATATATATATATATATATATATATATATATATATATATATATATATATATATATATATATATATATATATATATATATATATATATATATATATATATATATATATATATATATATATATATATATATATATATATATATATATATATATATATATATATATATATATATATATATATATATATATATATATATATATATATATATATATATATATATATATATATATATATATATATATATATATATATATATATATATATATATATATATATATATATATATATATATATATATATATATATATATATATATATATATATATATATATATATATATATATATATATATATATATATATATATATATATATATATATATATATATATATATATATATATATATATATATATATATATATATATATATATATATATATATATATATATATATATATATATATATATATATATATATATATATATATATATATATATATATATATATATATATATATATATATATATATATATATATATATATATATAAACCTAAAAAATGTCAATATAAGGGTAACATAAAAATACAGACTATATTGCAGTTTCTATTACGTAAGTCTAAAAACACCAATATAAGAGTAACATGAAAATACACATTATGTTGCAGTTTCTATTCTATAAACCTAAGCCAATCGTGATTGTTATACATGGTGTTTTATTTGTTTGTCTTTAATTTTTGTTATGGTTTAAAATATTAATGAGACTCTTAAACAAATGACAATAATGAGGATATTTGTTTATTTGTGTGTTTTCAAAGCCAAATAGTAAAAACACGATCAAATCACAAATTTAGGAAAAATTGTGATTGTCGTGCATCATTTTAAAGTGGTGAGCAAAAATGCTCCCTATCTATATTAAATGAAATATAAATTTTATTTGCTTACACAAATTTTTGGTTGAAATCTTAGTTATGTGCTTACGAACTTATGGTTACACATCTGCTGCCGTTTGTATGCTTATGTATCACAACTATGCACTATATGATCTATGTCTTGAAAAGTTATACAAAGTGGGCTTATGACTTAGATACTTCAAGTGATTTACAAGTTTTTGGCAAGTTTTGGAAGTTGGTTGTAGGCTTAAGTCCCTTCAGATAGTGCACTATTATTGTGAGGAATGAATTCATCAGCCTTGAGAAAGAACTCTTGTTCCTTGAAAACTAAGAAAAGATAGACAATCGTAGGTCCTCAAACACACTGGTGTGGTGTGAGACAAAGGGCCTCCTATGCCTAAGTTAGCATTGTTAAACAGAGAAAGAGTTAGAGTTTCTTAGTTCAAGGAACAATTACCTTCTCCCACAAATGGAGTTGGGTTTAAATTTGGCCCATTGGTGGCTTATTTACCACCGTTGGAGGCTACGTCTGTTAAAACTAAGTGGTGGATGCCATGACTCCTTGATGTGCATGTCCAATCAATTAGCCATTTGACTTGGGACGTATGAGATTTTTACCCAAAGTAGTGGTGCGTAATCTCCTTAATTACTGCTACTGCAATTAAAGAGGATCTACCCAAGATTTGGGTTGATCTTTTAGTGGTATGTTGCCTAAGGATAAGTCATGTTGGGCTTATCCCCTAAGCCTTATCTAATCTAGGCTTAGATCAGGCAGGCATCTGGACCCGTATTGGACTAGCTTGTCCATGGGCCTTTGCCTATCAGAAGGTCTTTGTGAGGCTTACATGGGCAACTTGGGCTCAGGTGGAGCCTTAATCTGCCAGAGGAAGCGACCTCTGCCAGCTTTGGGGCAATAATTTCAACTGTCATCATTTAATGCTTGATTGGATGCTTCTTATCTTCTCTCGCCCTTTGCTAAGGGCAATTTTATCCATTTGATTGCTTTGTCGTACACGTCGCGTCTTATTATTGGTGTACGATTATTTGCTCCCACAATTATACTTAACACGTTTTGAGAAGTCGAACCTTCAGATATATATAGATGTTTGAGTATTACAGACTCTAGCATGTTGTTGCTTATCTTGGTACATTTTAGGACTTATGATTTGTTACCAGTAATCCACACTTATGAGATTCACTAAGATGCGAAGCAATATAATACACTGAGAAAAGTAATATATCGTGCATAATTAATAGCTATAATTGATTATATGTTATCTATCTCGATGTTATGTAT